ACTTGTTCTATCACCGGGAGGACGACCATTTGTCCCAAGAAGGTGTCGGATTTATCGTGCACAAGTCTCTCGTTAATAACGTGTAAAGATTGGGAGTGAGTCGTTGAGGGTTGCGTACCTTATTTTCAGAATCACCAAACGGTATTCGCTCATGGTCATACAGGCTTACGCACCAACCTCGGCACACCCCGATAAGGAGATAGAGGAAATGTATGAGGATATCTTTAGAGCCATGCATTCCTCCAAAACCCACTATACGGTGTTAATGGGAGACTTCAATGCAAAACTAGGCACAAGAGTGAGCTGAAAGTAGGGAAATTTGGAATAGGGCAACGGAACCCAAGGGGCCAGCAGCTGGCTGACTTCATGGAGAAAAAGGGGCTCTTTATGATGAACTCTTTCTTCCAGAAGTGGCCCCAAAGGAAGTAGACCTGGTCGAGCTGGTGCCTGGTGCCTAGAAGACTGCATTGAAGTGAACGATATGAATGATAAGCTCGTGGAAACTGTCCATGCGGTCGGAGCTAAGTTCTGCAAGACCCGCCGCAGAAGAACACAAAAACTCTCCGATCACACTCTTACTCTCATGGCTGTTAGACGGGAAATGAAGCTGCAGTCTTCAACAGATTTGACAGCATACAGGCAACTAAACAAACAGATCTCCAAGTGCATACGGCGGTACTTACGCAACTTCAATACAGCTTGATTTGAAGAAGCGATCGAGCGGAACCAAGACTCCAAAGTCTTTACCAGTGATCTGTCTGCCACAAAGTAGACAGGGTGACGTTATATCCCTGAAACTCTTCACCGCTGCACTAGAAGACGTTTTCAAGCTTCTGGACTAGAAAGGATACGGTACTAACATCAATGGCGAGTACATCACTCAGTACATCATTCGATTTGCCGATGATATAGTCCTTATGGCAGAATAGCTGGAGGGCCCAAGCACTATGCTCAATGTCTTAAGATGAACGTGAACAAAACAAAAATCATGTTTAATGTCCATGTCACACATGTGCCGGTAGTTGTTGGGAGGTCAATCGACGGATTCAATTCGTCTGGGCAGCGTTCGGGAAATGACTGCACACCTTCTCGTTAGGTATACCTCAAAACCTGAAAACGAGATTGTACAATCAGTGCGTGTTACCAGTGATGACTTATGTATCTGAATTGTGATTTTTCACTGCTGGCTGGGTGAGGAAGCACAAGATCGCTCACCGTAGTGGCGTACCGGTCGACGAAGTGTAGAGCGTCTCTTCACTAGATGGAGTGACGACCTGGTAAGACATGCAGGAAGTCGATGGATGCAGTTGGCTCAGGACCGTGCTTTGTGGCATTCCTTGGTGGAGGCCTATGTTCAGTAGTGAACTTGTGAAGGGCTGTAATGATGATGATGACAATGAAGTTAAGTAGATTTTGGTCTTTGATTAATTAACATCGTTTAATAAATTTGTACCGGTGTTTTATTCATAGACTTAGAATATACTGGCGTATAGACGACCTGACAGCCCGAAAACGCGTGACTAATTGTGATTTCTCATTGTTTGCCTTAGCTAGTGATGTACATTTTACTTACTAGTACTATCGAAAAATGATTGTTAAGGAAGCGGTAAAAATATTTAAAAATTTATTTAGTGCACGCAATTGAATAACTATAAAAATTAACTGAATTTTTACCATGATAGTTCTAAAATAATTAAAAAAATAGTCATATAATATATTCCTGAGAATAAACTGAACCTACTTGCCTTTTGTTGGATTTTAATTCAAATGTATAAAATTCCAGTTGACAGTAAAGATAAACTTAAAAAACTCCCTAAGAATCAGATCGGAAAGTTATATTTTCGAGCCATTACTGCCATGGACAGTTTCCAATATGTCAAAAAAGAAACTTCGATCTTTTTTGACATATTGTTAATATAAATAGGTAGATACTTAACTAGATATATACCTATTTATATTTTATTAATTGTTTTGGTGGGGAAATAAAAAATGGGGACACGGAGTACATAATGACTGCTTTATTTTTTCTATAAGTATTACTTTTGATAATTACAATAATTTAATAATTAATAATTAAATACATTATAGAAGTTTATTTTAACATGCAACTTAAATATGAATTTATACTTAATGATTTAAGTAAGGAAACTCGTAGGAATCAGTTAAATAAGATTTCTGTGTTTAAAGGCCAATGATTTTATGACGCTTTATCACGCTTAATGTTTATATGCCGTTATCTCTTCGTGAAAAGTATAAAGTAATAATAAACCTGTTATCATTTTAGCTGCATGAATTCTTTCTATTTTTCCTTTATACTTCTCAAGAAAATATTTGCTGAAAATTGTTGAGTTCTTCTTTCGATTAACCAACCCGTCCAATTAACCTTAACCATTTTTTCTAATTATAGAATCCGGAGGGAATCTGTTACATGACAAACGGCAAAATAAAATTACATTTTAGAGTGCATACCGAGGATTTATTTTCTTGTTGTGTGGGCATTATTTTTGATATAGTTGAGTCAATCCCTAGCGTACATGTAAAATATTTTGTAAAAAATGTATTTACCAAATTCATGCAAATTATCTATAACGTGACTTTTTTCTTTGCAAAATATAATAATATACATAATAATTGAAAACATTCTATTTTAAACAGTATATAACATAAATTTAAACCAAAAATAAACGCATCATAACATTGACAACGTCTTGATAACTTACCTGTGAAACGTGCAATTATCAGGATTAATTCTATTATTAACACCACAGTCACTTATAGAACATGTAAACCCTGTTAGAAAAAAAGTTACTTGCTAAAAATAGCTACTATTACACTCTAAAAAATTACAAAATATCTAGAAGCTATTTCTTGCGTGCCGACTTGTGCCAATCTGTCATTCAAGATCTGTTACAGAGTTATGAAATTTGGTATCCTTTTCTATCTTGCATATTTGTCATAAGGAATTTTCTTCTCTCTTGCTCACTATGTTGGTCTATACGCCAGTATATTCTAAGTCTATGGTATTATTCATCTTTAAAATCCTACCATATAATTACCGATCTAACTAGTATTTACTTAATAATAACGTAATAAATTAATAACGTACGTACAATAATACATAGGCGTCAATCTTGGCGCATTACAATTCAACTAACTATGTATCAGTACTCAGTGTTGTAGAACTACTGCTTACGCGTAGCATAATGGGCAATTAGCGATACGCGCGCTCTATATCTTGCTTATGTTTACTCTAAGATGGTACCTGTTAATACGATTACGGTTTACCTTTTTTCTATGCTGGATGCGGTTCACGGATATTTTACGGTATGGTTCTATTATCTGTATTCTATATTCAGAATCAGAATGGGTTGGCAGTACCGGCAACTACCGAATGAACCATTAACCTATCAAACTTCGGCCGTACCCTGAAGCCTGCTCTTCACTGTGGGATATAATGTAATATATATATTAACTCGTGAGCTAAATTAATATCGCTCACCGTACTTTTTAATGAACCGTTTACACTGAGATGTAATATATATTACATCTCATACTATAAATATTTTTTCGATCGACCGAGCGATATTTTCATATTATATTTCGCCCCCTGTACACCACACACCGTTCTGCGCCGACGCAGAACGGTGTGCGGGGTACTCCAATGACGAACGCACACTGGTTAAAAGGTATATATCACAGTGTGAAAGCTAATCGCGGGATATAACTTATATCTCGGGTTATAATATATATTATATCAAATAGTGAAAAGCGAGCTTTAAAGAGAATAATTATCCTTAAAGCTCGCATTTCACTATTATTAATTGTCAAATTCTTCTTAATAACAGGCTTTACGGCTCTGGGATCTAGCCCTTCTGAGCCTGAAATTACAATATATTATAATAATTATCCTTCATAGTATACTGCTTCACAATATGTTGAATGCGTTACATTGTGCAGCCATTGAGAGATTTTGACGGCAACTTGAGCCAGCAGACAGTTGGCGATGGTATCTCAAGGCGCCTAAGCAGACAGACACCTTATTTTGAGAATGACATCACCTGACATGACATCACTTGAATACCTCGACTCAGATTAATAATCAAAATATAATAACTATGTATCAATATTTTAATTGTTTTATTTTTGCACCTTGGGGGTTTGCTGTCTGTCAAGGCAGGTTTTGTGTAAAACCTGCTTTCCTTAATTACTTGTAGGATACACAGTCAAATTATCTCAATTATTTAGTATGTGAATTTAGCTAATTACTGTTGTTGGGATTTACAAGGGTCAAGGATTACGCAATAAAAGTATGTACTTGAAAAAAATATGACATTAAAAGGACCATAATATTAAATCAGTTTACAAAATAAAATAAAAATATCAAAACTTTTCGGTTGAAACCTATAGGGATGCCGTATAAAAGATAGTGGTGCCCTCCTTTTTTTCATGAGTTTCTTGACAGATTGTAATTAATAACTTCTCAAAATATTTTATTTATGGACAACGTCTTGCAATCGTCATTTCTCTTGCGCTCACTTGCCCTTCATACAAATAATGCAATATTTTAATTGTTGATAATTTTTTATTTTTGGATAAAAACATAGTAATGACTCTTATATTTACCTTCACTTTTAAACTGCGCTAGCACTTGTTACTAATTTGTGATTTAAACAAAATATTGTCTTTGACCTGACCTACTGTACTCCTAGCTTGACCATAGGTATTAGGGACTGAGTATGTAAAAAAATGAAAAAAAAAAATTACAGCTTTCTGGTCAACTTTACTTTCCGCTTTTGCTTCCCGCCAATTTTTAACAAGCTGATGAGCTGATAACTGTCAAGTGTCAAAGTGAGAAGCGAATCAGAAATTCAGAATATTATTATTTATTATTCATAGATAAATATATATGTAGCAAGTTATTATTATATTTACATACTTACAAAGTATTCAAAGTAACACTATGACTATGTTTCAATAAATATTAATCTAAGATTGATGTCATGTCGCTTCTTGAAGATATATTTTTAAACGATGAGGCTGATGAAGCAAAAGAGTTGGAGCGTATTATTGAAGGGGACGAATATGACGATAAACCACAACCGCGCTCTGATAGTGATGAAAATAGTGAAAAAGATGATGAAGCAGGTATTAACACGTTTTGATATGAACATTAAGTTTTCATTCATCATCTATTATATCCTATTAAACGTCCCCTGTTAAACATACCCCCCCCCCTAATTCTGTTATGCGGGGGGGGGGGGGCAGGCGCCCAATATTATTATTTTCTACCAACTTTAAACAACAGGAGGTACTCAATTCAACTATGTTTTTGTTCATGTGTGTTACCTCATAACTTTTTTCTAGGTGAACTGATTTTGATGAGTCTCTTTTTATTTGAAAGCTGGTGATTCTCATTGGTCCCATATAAATTTGATCAAGGACTGACCATAGTTTTTGAGTTATTCTTAATAATTTATATTGAAGTTGGTTGTACAAAATTTTAAATTATTTATTTCCTGCTGCCAAACTGTTCGATTTTCCTCTGTTCCGAAACATACGAATAGGGGATTCTCTTACGCTGCTATTACTTGCCCCACATTCTGTTTTGTTTTAACCATTTAATAATGTTAATTTTATCACTAGTTATGATTTTTGCAATTATGCAATTGTTATCTGTATTACAGAAGAGGAGAAAAGACGTGTTGATCCATCTAGCACGAAAACAAAGCGTACGGTGAAAAATCCAAGATTTATTTTAAATCCTGCACGATTGACTGGGCCTAGAGGCATACAGGTTATCCCTGATCATTTTAAAGACTTTAAATTCAAAGGTTTGTTTAGTTTTTTTTCTTGCTTAGACCTCACACATAGTAACTAAATACAGTCGAAACCGAATATAACGACATCGTTTATAACGACGAATTGGTTATTACGACCAAATGGTAAGGTCCCGGCCGAATCCCTAATAAACAGTTAAGTAAACATACCGCCTATAACATCATTGGATACAGCGACATATCGCTTAGAACGACGGAACTTTATCGATATTCATCGGCTATAACGACCAACCGTTGTGCTTGTAAAATAAAACAATACGAACAATTTTCAAACTTATTATAATCTATGAAGGAATGTTTTGACTTATGCCTACGCACTTTCTTCCACCCCATCCGACGTGTGCGCCGTAGTTACTGAGGAAGAGATTCTTGCAGAAGTTGAAAGTAATAATCGTAACACTGATGAAGAAAACTAAGACCCCCAAGAGCAGTTCCAATCAACAACACTATGCGAGGCTATTAATGCTATAATAGTTTTGAGCCTATTAATGCTATAATAGTTTTACAAAAATTTGTTGCTTTTAACAAAGAGTTTAATGCTGATGATAATCAAGCAATCTTGACGAGAATGAAACGTAAAATGCAAAACACATTTGAGACTCGGCTTAAAAAAAAACAGACCAAAATGACTGATTACTTTAAAAACTTATTGTAGTCTATAAGCTGTACTGTTGGTCCTGCAAGTTTTTCAGAATAAATATTTTTATGTTTGTATACTTGTGTATATTGCTTATAACAACTATCGGATATAACATCCGAAGTTATATGGTCCCTTCAATGTCGTTATATCCGGTTTTGACTGTATATATATATATTTATATATATATAAATAAAAAATAAAATAAAATAAAATAATTTATTTTTCTTCACAAAACTTAAATTAATTAGATAGTTGATTGGGGTCTCCATTTAAGCAAGTAATGCTTGTGTTTGGAAACCCCGCTCTTCCTTATCTAAACATACATTTTAATTCTCAAAACCAAAAATGACAAACCAATTACTCTATTTTAACAAACCAAAAATAACAAAAACTAATTAATTTTAAAAATCAAAAATTTAAAAATTTAAAAATTAAAAAGTACAAAAGTATATGTGTGCATGTATGCAAGTGTGTGTGTGTGTGTGTATGTGTGTGTGTGCGTGTGTGAGTGTGTGTGTATGTACGTTTGTGCACGTGCGTGTGAATGTGTGTGTGTGTGTGTAGAGAAAGTATTATTATGTTATATATCGTAAAGAACAGTGAATTATGAAATGCGTTCCATTAGAAATTCAGTTTCGTCATATGTTTTCGACTGCACCCATTTTAGTATAAGGTTTTTACACTCCTTGTATGTTTTGTCATATATGTTTAATTCTCTATTTATTAAATTATATAGGAATGTAGAACGGGAGCTAAATTGCCTACTAGCAAACACTGTTTTGAAACCAGAAGACACAGCCACAACATCTTTTCGCCGCTTTTCCAAGATGCATCGGTCAAAGGGCACGGATTTGTGTGCTTTGAGCGTTGTCATAGTAACGTATAATTGTCTAACTGAGAGTAGACCACTTATTTGATACAGTTTTTCAGTGGAAAAACGCCTTTTTTTAAAATACATGACCTTAAGAAGGATTCACTGAGCTCTTTCCAAGTTAAGAAATTGGGTCTTTGTAGCTCCACCCCACACCGGAATGCAATAAGTTATGATAGATTGTGCAAGGGATATGTATATTTGGTTTAGGAGATATCTGGGAGAGTCCGACTGTTTAGTATTATCTGGTATTACGTGTCTTAGGGTTTTGAATATCCAAATCAATTTTCGAGTTCTACTGATGACATGTTCCAGGTGTGGGTACCACGATAGCCTCTGATCTACAATGACGCCAAGATATTTAGTGTGAGAGACTTTTTCAATTGATGGGCAGTCACAAGCTTTGTTTTTAGCATCCTCATTACATGCATGAATTTTAAGGCAAAAGTCAGTCTGTGGTTGCGAGTTGTTAGTAATGCTAAAGCAAATAAAATTTGTCTTAGCTGTCAGTAATCGTCCACCCGCGCGGTAGAACGCACGCTCTCGACTGTGTGTGCGGTGCGATCCGACCCCTTTTAAAAAAGAGGTCCGAAATGGCGAGTGCAGATATTGTGAAGTGCTCGAACTGTAATATTGTTATTAATGAGCTGCTGACTTTTGTTAGGCATGTTATTGACTACACGGATGAGGAGAGTATTCACCAGCTGTGTACCACAACATTCTCAGAGGAGGACATTGTAAAGGCTAAAACCCTTCTTTTTGAGTCAGTAGCAAATGCTAAGAAAATGCCTATGAGGAAGAAGCACGGGAAGAAGCGAAAATCACGGGACCTGGACGATATTATTGGGTTAATGAAGAGTGCTGATCCAACAAAATTTCCGATTTTCTGTGCGCGGAATCTAGATTTGATACCCCCGGTGACTTACGATCATGTGGACGTCACCCGATTTATTAAGGAGTTGTTGTCGCTTAAAAACAGATTAAACGTGTTGGAAGAAAATGCTGTTAATGCCGAGGAGTTCAGCCTTCTTAAGCGGGAGGTGTCTCATATGAGGCATGCATCGTTAGTTGACGAAACCCATTTTAAAGTAAATAAAAGGAGAGGCGCGTGCTTTCAAAGTAGTTTCGATTACGACAGTGGACCGATCGGACTGCCTTATGTGCCTGAATATACTTCGATAAAATCACAGAAATCAGCTGTTATCGAGGTAAACAATCGACCTTCTATGAGTCATAATACTTGTTCAAAAGGAATAGTCATGGATAATTCTGTCTCACTCGCTAGCAAACAAGATGAAGCGATGGAATCATTGCAACACGTGGAGGCCAGTACTGCGGTTCCAAACATACTAAGTCTGGCTGAAGGAGCTGTTATAGGTGCAAGTAGGTTGGCTATTGCGTGTGCGCCGAGTGCATCCGAGGCGAAAGGGAGCGATCATAGGTCAAGTACGGCAAACGACGTTAGTAAAAGTAAAAGTGTAAACGAGATGGAACGAGAGTTGACATCTCTCGCCGAGGCCAGCACTGCGGTATTGAACACACCGAGTCCGAGTAGCAATAACACCAATAGCATAGGTGCAAAAAGGACGGCGAATGCGCCGGGTACTTCCAATATGAAAAGGAGCGGTTGTCGGACAATATCGGCAAAAGGTGGTAGTGCAGGAGGAAACGAGACGGCGCGGAGAGTATTAATACCGCCACACGCGGAATCTCCTTTGCGTGCTACGGTCGGTGGCCGGTTAGCTGTACGGACTGACAATGTGTGCGTGACGGAGACAAGCGGAGGCCCTACTAATGGAAATCGATCGAGACCAACGCATGACTTTGGAAGCGGCATTATTGGTGTCCGTGTTAATAGTGGTGAAAAACATGAGCAAATGCTAGGGGACTCAGAATGGCAAGTTGTAAGAAATAAATCTGCTAAACGATATAAGTTAATAGGGCAGAAAGGATGTGCTCCTACTGCTCCGAATGGTAAATTTAAAGCTGCAGATATAAAGATACCAATTTTAATATCGAATGTTAGTAAAGATACAAGTGAGGAGGATATCATTAACTATATAAGGGAAAAAACTAATGAATCTGTATCATTAAAAAAGATAAATATGAGAAAAACAAAATTATATAACTCCTATAAACTGTATGTCTCGAAATTTAAAATAGATACATTTTTAAATGATAATTTGTGGCCAAATGGTATAACTTTCAGACGTTTTGTTCGTTTTATGTATAAAACGAAAGTAAATAATGTAAATATTTCATAGTTAAATAGTTAAAGTTAAAATATTATATCTACATGAATTTAATGCTAAATCCAACTTTGAATTTTGTTAGTTTTAATTGTTATTTTGTTTCTAGATCTTTAAATGACCTACAGAGTATATGTAAAAAATCAGATGTGGTTGCGCTGCAAGAGACTTGTCTGCTTCCCCACGATATACCGGTACTGGGAACTATTTCAAATGATTTTGAATATACAGGGAAGTCGGCGGTGGACACGTCTACCGGCCCTCTGATCGGAAGACCGTATGGGGGGGTAGCGATACTTTGGAGAAAGGGAATTTTTGACGGCGTGTCTATAATAAAGTGCACGAATGATCGCATTGTAGCTATTAAAGCCAGTATTGGGCGGCGAGCGATTCTGGTTTTTTCCGTATACATGCCAACTAACTCACTAACCAATCTACCCATATTTACCGATGTGCTGAGCGAAATAAACGCTATAATTGATAATGAAAATGTTGAGAGTGTATTTATACTGGGAGATTTTAACGCGCATCCCCACGAACTGTTCTATAATGAACTCATAACCTTCTGCTCGGAGCAGAGCTGGGTCTGCGCCGATGTTGAAAAACTAGGTGAGCAAAGTAACACTTATACATACGTAAGCGCTGCGTACGGATGCCGTAGGTGGTTAGACCATTGTTGTGTGACAGACCTTGCGTGGCAGACTGTAGTGGAAGTGGAAGTAATGGAAGACGTCTTTGTGTCGGATCACTTACCACTAATTGTAAAGTGCGATTTAAGCTGTGTAAGACCCAAGTTGGCATCACCTAGCCTACAACGAAGCACGGTAATATGGGGAGAGCGAGGCGAGGCACAGATAACTAAGTACCATGACCTATGTAATAATAGTATGCGCGAAATTGATTTTCCTTCTGAGTTTACGGAGTGCAGCCGCGGAATGTGTAGCTTGAGTGAGCACGAAAAAGTACTAGATCGCTTGTATCAGAATATTGTACATGCCCTAAGCGACGCGGCAAGTAAGTCGAGTAAGACTCGTGGAGGAAGGAAGAGCAATAACAGGCATTTATGTGGGTGGAACAAGCATGTTTATGATGCTCACAAGCAGGCCAGGCTTAACTATCAAGTTTGGTTGCTGAATAATCGGCCTAAGTCTGGTAGAATCTATGAGCAGATGTACGAATCGCGTAAAATATTCAAAAGTCGACTAAAATGGTGCCAACAAAATCAAGACCAACT